GGGTCCAGGCTGGGGATTTGAACCCGCCACCTTAGGTGTACGTGGCTGGCGCCTTAGCCGCTTGAGCTATAGGCGCCGAGCCGACTTTTCTAATCTTTAGAAAGATTGTGTGTATTCATTTACACATTGATGAGTTTATATGGATTAACAAATTGAGTATTCCCAAAGAAAAATAAATAGAATCCAAGTGGCTAACAAGCATATTTCATTTTATCTTCATATGCAATTATTTTTATAGCAACTTGTTGGAAGTAGCCCCCCCAGCTCAGCAGTTCTTATCTAAAAATAAATTTTAATAAATTGGTCTGATTTTTCAAGGGCCACCAATTCACTGATTGAGGTATTTTTTTTATGAACCACTTTTATTAAGCTCATAATAACAAAGTGGCCTGAGGTTCAAAAGTCGGACTTTTCCAAAACAGGATATCATCTAAACTAGAACTCATGGTTCATATCTGCCCCTCTGTTTGCTTTTATAAAGAAGGTTTTATTAGGATGCATCTATGCCCACTTGTTTGAGTATTGACTATGGCTCCTTCCACAATATAATGACAGAGTTGAGTAGTTGCAAGGCCTGTAAAACCTAAATAAAATATTTGCTACTGGTCCTATCCAGAAAATGCTTGCCAACCATTGAACTAAGGTCCCCAGAGTAGCAGTGTTGCCATCATCTAGGAGCTTGTCAGAACTGCAAAGTCTCAGATAAAGCACCAAGGAATTTGTGTTTTGTTTTTAACAATTCCAAATGATTTTGATGCAAGCTAAAGTATGACAAACTTAAATGTGCAAACAAAACACCTGAGGAACTGTTAAAAGGAAGATGCTAATTCATTAAGTCTGAGGTGGAACCTGAGATTCTAAGTTTGTATTTCTAATGAACTCCCCTGATGCTGATGCTGCTGGTCCTCGGGCCACACCTTGAATAGCAGAGGTCTGGTATTTTCCTCTGGCATCATCCAACAGCAGAATTACCAAGGGCACTTGTCAGAAAAAATTTAAAAGGGGCAGCCAGAGTGTCATGAGGAAACCAACTCAAATGCTTTGAAATGCACCCTGAGGAGAGTATAGTTCTGAGGACTTACCTTCTTCAGTATTTCTGTGTTCAGCAGCATGTAAATGTCTATAGTACGACTTTCTTCTTTAGCGAGAGCACTAAGGTTACAGTGCATTGTTAGGCAAGGGATTCCTGGTTTTTCACAGTCCTTAGAAGAAAAGGCAGAGGATTGTCAAATGGTATTAAGACAATAGAGAAATCTGGCTTGGTGCCAGTAGCTCAGCAACTAGGGCACCAGCCACATAGACTGGAGCTGGTAGGTTCGAATCTAGCCTGGGCCTGCCAAACAAACACAACTACAACCAAAAAATAGCTGGGCATTATGGCGGGTGCCTGTAGTCCCAGCTACTTGGAGGCTGAGGCAAGAGAACTGCTTAAGCCCAAGAATTTGAGGTTGCTGTGAGCTGTGACGCCATGGCACTCTACCCAGGGTAACATAGTGAGACCTTGTCTCAAAAAAAAAATGGAGAAAAGACAAATCCATAGCAATTTATAGAGTTCTACTAGAGCTCTACTATTCTATCCTAGTGACTAAGGACTAAGGCAGTTCCAGACAGAGAAAATCCACAGGAAGATGCAATCGTTCTTTCTCACCACCAGAGGGCATTCAAAGGATTTCCCACCTGGCGGGCACCAGAGCATGCCTTCAAGTCAAGCGATTGGGAGAAAGTAGCTCACGGGTTTTTCCCACCAAAACATTGGATTTCACAAGGAGAAATAATTGTTCTAAAAAGAAAAACATTTACATTCTGTGTTCTGAAAGCAGTATAATGAGTTTGAACATAAGATATATTTCCTACATAATGTATTAATAATTTCTGTCTGTCCAGTGGCAAATACATGCTCAGGTAGGGTCAATCATAGGGCTAAGAAGTCATGTGACTCTTGTTTAAGAAAACACATAAGTTACAATAGGAGCGTAAACTCCAAATTTAAGTTACAAAACAGGAATATTTATTCCTTTTGTAATGTAGGATCCAAAATGTATATATGTATTATACATTATCTTCATGATATTTCATGTATAAGGTAAATTTTCAGCCAGACACAGAGTCATAATTATCAAACAAGTAGATGTCATCATATCTAACAATTCAAAAGACTTTTAAAAAATAGTTGTATTATCTTTACTATGTAAGTGAAAACATCCCAACATTTCAAATAGCAAACAGTCATACATCTCTATAGGAGAGGAGAGTGAGGAAGGAAATGATAAACATGAGATGTGCCTGGGCTGAAATGAGGAGCTAAAGAAATGTTACCAAAAATATAGATGGAGGCTCTGGAAAAGTAGTATGATTCCATCTTCAATACCTTCACTTTTCAAAAAATACAATAAATAGAGCAAACCTGAAGTGTACTTTTTTTTTCTTTACCTAGAGAACCACCACCCTAAGACACAGGACTTCTCCAGCACCTAAGCAGGTTCCCTCATGCCCCATCCTATCAGTATTCCTCCCAAAGTAACCACTATCCTGACCTCCATCACCATTGATCAGTTTTTGCTATTTCTAAACTTAAAATAAGTGAAATATTATATGTGGACTTTGGTTGCTAGCTTCTTAAAATGATGTCTGTGAGATTCACTCATGTTTTGTTATGTTAGCAGCTGGTCCATTGCTGTGTAACATTCTAGTGTATGCCTATACTATAATTGTTTACTCATTCTCCTGTTCATGGTTATTTGGACTGTGCACAGGTTTGAGCTATAAGATTTCTATGGATATTTTTGCACACACATTTTGGGAAACACAAGTCCTCATTTTTCTTGGGTATATACTCAGGAGTGGAATGGCTGGGTAACAGGGAACATATATGTGTTATTTTAGTCGACATTGCCTGTTTTCCAAAGTGCTTGTACAAGAATCATCATTCTCATTTAGACTCATACTAGTTGGAGAAGCATCTTACTTTGCAATTGATAGGTGCAAAGATTTTCCTTTTGCTAGGTAATAAGATTGGAATGTAAATTTAGCACTTTGAAACCTCAGATCAAAAACTAGGAGTTTACTACAGTCTTTGTGCCTTTATAATAAGTCAATTGATTAAAACCAGATTTGAGAAATAATAAATATCAAATAGAAAACTGGCCTCTAATCTCAGGCTTGTCTTAAACTGGCCTCTAATCTCAGATAACTGGCCTCTAATCTCAGACTTGTCTTCCTAGTGAGGACCACCTGTGTTATCCCAGCTACTGAGCAAATCCTTACCAAGACTTTTCTTCCAGATTTTGTGAAGAAAGCAAATATCGTGTGGAAGATATTTTCTTGTTCTTGAGGGATGATGCAGGGGGTTGGATTTTTCTGGAAAGAGCAGTTTCCCTTCTCTTGGCCCACCTGAAAATGAAGAGAGGCCTATCAGAGTGGTCAGTCCCAAGAATGATCAATGATCCCAGAGTTCCCTACTGTCAAGGCAGTAGCAGTAGAGCTTGAATTTTCATTTTTAGCCTTGTCCATTTTCCAGTGGACAACGATGACTGACAGGCTGAAAAGCAGAATTTATGGCATCCATTGGACAAATCATAGAAAATGTGGATCTTAAACACCTAAATAAGATGAGATGGCACATGGAAATGAGATATGATTAGGGAATATTAACAGTAAGAATAAAATTAACCTTATATTCCATGGTTTCCAAAGCACAATTATAAACATACTTAAGGCAATTCTTATCTGGATGAGGAACATGAAACTCAAGTCATTTGCTAACAATCATGGAGTCAAGAACCCAAGTCTTCTGAGACCAAGCCTCATGGATTAACTACTGCCAGAGGTTTGCAAACTGTTCCAAGGAGCCCCTAGAGTGCAGTAAAACCCCTTAGGAGTCCTCCCAGGAAGAACCAGCAGCAGGACTGCTCTGAGTACAAGAGCTTCAACCACATATGATGGCAGCCACTACACTGAGCCAGACAGGAATTTGCATGGCCAATGAGCTCTTGATGGGTTATCTGATTTTGCTTCTGACAACAATGACAATGGTGCTGAGCAACACCAATACTAACAAAACAACAGTGTATAGCTCTTCATGTTGATTTTCTTAAGAACAGTGCTCTTTTCAATGCTTAAATTAAGGAACTGTTGAAAAAACTAAGTCTTCTTTCTATATCATCATATCATACTGGTTGTAGCTAAAGACTGGACAGAATGTGAAGTCAGACCAGAAAATTAATTTATAATTCATAATTTAGATACAATCCCCTTGCTCACCAGAATTGTCTGTTTAAACTACCCTATTTTTAATGTCCCCGAATAAAATATAGTGTGTTTGAAATTATTCAAGACTAGCTGTCAACTTTAAGAGTTTCAACTTTTCATCTGTGAGAGGAAGTTTTAAAATTTTCACAAGAAACTTCTAACTTAAGCTAATAATACTAATTTTTTCATAAAGCACTATAAAACAAGACTACCAAAATTTGCTAAGTTAATCTCAATTTTACCTTTGGTTTGAATATATTTCCCAATTTACTATATATGTCAGGAAAAAAATAAGGAGATGAAGGTTTATTTTCTCAAATTAACTGTTAGAAAAGAGAACATTGCTTTAGCTTCTCATGGTTTGGGACTTAACTATCTTTTAAATGTCTCTCATCATTTGGGACGCTCTCAATTATTTTATTTGAACCACAAAATTTGGGAAGACACTCTAGCCTGAAATGATCTCAATCAATATTGGTTTGGGATGATTGTAAAGGTCACTAAAGGGAGGTTGTGGGAAAAAAGCAATGAACTTTAATGCATATTTGGCAATTATTCCTTGCATGCTATTGTTGAAAACAGTGATAAATACTTGAAAGTTAATTTTAGAAAGGAATATGTAAGTTGCTTATGTGGTAAGGAGCATGAATATTCAATTGTAAGACAAGTGAGAAAACTGCTACAATGTTATGTAAATGGGTATTCAAGTGTTACAGTAAAATTTCAGCATCAAATAGCATCAAAGAGGGATTCACTAAAAGTTCTGCATCTCAAATAAACCACTAAAAAAGTGGCTTAGTAATGATACACATTGATCTCAAAAGATGCACATTTGAACAAAACTGTTTTGTGAAAAGTGACAATGAAAAGAGAGCAATATTCTAAATTAATGTTATTTTTACATGACTTCTAAGTATGAAATGACATGATTAAGTTAAATATAATAAACAGGGAGTTGATTATTTCATCCATTTTCCTAACTTTTTGAATTGAAGTAAAATTCACATTTACTAAAATGCACAGATTTTAAGGATTTATCTAATGATTTTCAACAAATGAAATCACCTAGTGACCATCACTCCAGAAATTTCCCTCCAGATCTCTTCCAGACAATTCCCACCCATCCCCATCTCATAGGCAAGCACAGTTCTGATTCCTATTAAGTTGGCAAAAATAATTTGTTAAATTTACCTCAACAAATTTAACAAATAGAGGGAGTAGGAGATGTGAGATTTGGGGCTTACCCTGTATTAGCCATGCACAGTATATTGCAGATGGAAAACATTTGTGTTATTTTTTATTTTTATTTTTTTATTAAATGATAGCTGTGTACATTAATGCAAACATGGGGTACAGTGTCGTGTTTTCATATACAATTTGAAATATTTTCATCAAACTGGTTAACATAGACTTTGTGGAAAACATTTATGTTCATTGGGCATTTGAGAATTTTACTGTGCATAGTCATGCTCTTTTTAGTTTTTCTTCATAGTCATGTTCTCTTAATTCTCATTAGTCTTTCACTCTGGAGCATGGGGGTCTCCATGTCCTGTTTGTCTTCTGGAGTGCACATTTGCTGACAGACTACTAGAAAAGAGTCTTCTGCAACCCTGTGGCATTCATATTCTTGTTAAGATTACTACGCATGGCCACCAAAACACATTTGGTCTGAGTTTAAAGAAACAGAACCTATGAGTCTTGCAGGACACATCCCTCCGTAATTAAAATCAAGACTGGGGGCAGAATTCTTCCTTGCTCTGCAAATTGGTGCTTCAGGTTTCCAAGCAGGGAGAGGAAGCTTGGAAGCAGAGCCCCAATCCAGCCAGCTTCACGAGTGTGCTTTGGGTGTAAGGAGCTGGCGCTGTCATCTGGCCACAAGATGCCCGCAGAGAGGGGCAGGGGGCTGGGAACGGCAGAGCAAGGGCCTCAGTTTCAGCCCCAAGTGCCAGAGTCGTGGCTCAGAACTTAGTTTTCCTCTTCCACTGGGAGCTTCTGGGGTGGCCTGTGAACAGGGTAATGACGATGATGTGATGCGATGTGACACTTAATCTGCCCTCAGTGGAATTTAGAGAAGGGAAGTGGAGACTGAGTTGGTGGTGAATGAAAATCTTGGCCAGTTATGCTCCCGACTGTGGTTACACGGGAATCACTTCAATTGGGGAAAGCAATGTTTTTCTGGAAGGTTCAGGGTGGTCCCCTTTCAAAGGGAGATTGAAAGTTGCTTGGTGCTGCAGGAGTCTGATTCAGAACAGCCAATCCTGGTGCAGAGGCTCCCTTGGCTAAAACTCAGCAACTCAGAACCTGGCCAGGTCATCCATGGGAGGGGCTCTTTGGTGTGTTCTGCATAGACACACATGTGATGGCCACAGCAATAACATTTAATGCTTGACAGCCCTTGTTGTGGGCCAGGTTCTTGGTGTATTTCACATATCATTCATTCCTCACAATGAACCCCTGAGGCAGGTGCTATTACTATTCCCATTTATCAGATGGAGAAACTGAGAGGCAAGGGGAGACCAGATGACCAGCACAGCAGGATTAGGACATAGCATCTAGGTGCAGGGATCTGCATATAAGCACTTTCCCACATGCCTCTTAGGTGAAGGCTGAGGACAGAGCTGGGGCAGGACTCACAAAGGAGTGCAGGTGGAGGGAAAGCATCCTTTCCTCTTCCTACCTTGGCTAAAGCATAGGAAATACTAGTTTGTTAGCCTGCAAATCCCAGAGTCCTGCAGCCTGACCCATTTCTGTCATCATGGCAAAACAAAACAAAACAAAACTCCTGCCTAGATAATGGGAGATAAAAGTGCCTGCTGACTGGGGGGGCCAGTTTGTTCTGTGCTGTCTCTTGGGCTGGAAGGAGTGTCTTTGGGTGTTGTTTCTGGAAGGCAGCTCTGAGATCATGTGGTCCTATGGCCTCAGCTGACAGATAAGGAAACAGATAAGAGCCCCCCCAAGTTTAGTGACTTGTCTGAGGCTCTGTGGCTGGTTGTTGGCAGTGTCGGGCAGCCTGTGAAGGAATTCTATGCATAGGTGCTCTTGATGAACACTCAACAGTCCCCGGCTTCAACCCTAGCTCTGCCTCTTGACAACTGCACCAATTTGAGTCTCTGGGGCCTCAGTTTCCTCATTTATAAAATTAGGATGTTGGCCTGCATGATAACTAAGGTTGTCCTCAGTTGCTCATTCAACACTCATGGGCTATCTGTGCATTTTCATTAGAGTATGGGATCTACTAATCTAAGGTGACCAGATTTTAACATTGGTAAAGCGAGACACCATTGGGGGGGATGGGGCCTGGGGGCAGGGCCTGACAATAATGCAAACTTTGATAAGCAGTTCTTGATAATCAGTTCTCAACAATTATTTGTTATTATTAAAGTTTAACATTATAAAATTAACAAAAATAATAAAAAACACGTGTCCTGGTGAAATAGCCACATGGCAGCCAAAAACCATATATTCCCTTCCTGTTCTCCCGTGTTCCCTAGCTTGTTGTGCATTCTTTCCAAAAATCGGGGCTTTTTAAAAACACTGCAGGACACAGGACAAATTGTTAAAAATCGGGACTGTCCTGCCAAAAGCTGGACGCTGGTCACCTTATTCTAGAGGGGGAGGCTACTTGTTTGTTCCAGACAGTTTGGCTCTTCTGAGCTAATTGTCCTTGCCTAGAAGCAAGGGAGGGATCCAGTCTCCTTCTGACACCTTGCCCAGGAGGGGAGTAGGGAGTTTACATTAGCCTTTTCATTTCCAAATGGAGTTACATTAACCTCTTCATTCCCAAATGGAGTTGCATTAACCTCTTCATTCCCAAATGGAGTTGCATTAACCTCTTCATTCCCAAATGGAGTTACAATAACCTTTTCAGCAGCTGAAAACCCTATATTCCCTTCTCATTCTCCCGCTGTTCCCTAGCTTGTCAGGCATTCTTTCCAAAAATTGGGACTTTTTAAAAATGCTGTGGGATGCGGGACAAATTGTTAAAAATCAGGACTGTCCCACCAAAAGCAGGATGTCTGGTTACCTTACACTAATCTCATTAGGCAGATAAGCAATTACTGACTCACAACTTGGTTTTAAATGCCCTCTCTGCTCAAAGTCAAGGGAAGTGATGCTTTCTTCGTGTATTACAGGCAACCTAA